GATTATTTGGTTAATTCAGTTTAAAACCATGTTTGTAAAAATATAAATGAAAACAAATAAAATAAGGCAATCTTATTCAGTTAATCAAACATTTTTACCTAGAAACTATATAACTCAATTTTTGGGTTATGCGGTTTTGATTTTTAACACCTTTAGGCAGTATTAGCAGTAGTCTGCCAAAGTTAGCGATTTCAATCAAAACTAACATATCAAACTTTTACTCTACAATCTGCCATCATGTCAAATCATTCAAACATGGACGATCCCTTGTAGAAAATTTGAAGTTGTTGTATGTTATTTAATCGATCCATGACTTTTTTTAAGTGCTTGACAAAATATTTTACCATCATACATTCACTAAGGGGCCGTTTACCTAAATGCTTACCCGGTAAGTGTACTTCACATTAGGAGTCAACACTATACTTTTATTTTATTGGGTAAGATTGTAGTACATCAAAACCTATCCTATACAACCATTTACCTGGTAAGCACTTACCCAGGTAAGAGTCGTCACCCTCACTTACCGGGTAAAACTCTCCATCCTTATCATCGCTCTTACCTAATAGGATTCTTGGCCCTTGCCATGTTCATCCGGTGAGAAAAATTACCCGGTAAGTACGTTTAGTAAACGGCCCCTAAGAACCTTATGGTAACTTTCCCTTCTCTAGACTTTCGTGGCTATTGTTTAGCCGAAAAATAAAGGTTTTACCGATTCATGATCGTGACCAATTTACATGCATGGTTCCRAATGGCAAGTTTCCTTGGATGAAAAGGTTTGGAAKGTTTCACGATCGTGAAGGAATAACCATGTGCGATCGTGAACACTAGTCAACGACTTTTTCCGTTCTACTTTTTTGTACATGGTTTTCATCTTTTCATGGCATTATGTCTTTGACATATGTTTTCTTGGGCCTCAAATATTTCATCTAACGTAGATAGAAAACATGTGTTTTTTTGGCTAACTTATACTTTCATGATTATAGTTTATTCTAACCTCAATTGAGGTACAAATTGCAATAGGAATATGTAAGGAATGATTGTGGAAAAAAAAAATTAAAATGGTATTTTTAAAGACCCAATAAAGAATACCGAGTTATATAGCCTGCCATTTGACACGTCTATATAATAACTGATTAACGTTTAAACTGTTCATCTAAGTATTTCTTTATAATCCGTAAGTGTGTAAATATGATAATGGCTTACCCTGAACGGGAGCCAAGGCATTCTAGATATAAAAATACAAGAGGTTACAGGGTTTTTAAAATATTTACATAACAACCCAGTGTATGTCTCCTCTYTAAGACATGCATACGTCTCCCACAATTTACCAAAACAAAATGTGTTAACTAACTTGCACACAGTTCGGTAGTATAACGGATGTAACTTGAACATATCTTTTGCTGGTTTTAACCAATATAATGGAACTTTCTTCTATAAGTCTATTCAACAATGGCAACACAAACTAATTAATAGTWGTTTATCCTATAAAACTAACCGATCCTATAAAATAAACTAACTCGAGTACGAAAATTGAAATTATCGTCACTCTAGCCATATTTGTGTAAAGTATATTGGAGGATTCATGGACGAACCAGTCGTATCCGAAACAACCTTCCTATCGGTGCAATGCATCCTCTTAAAAAGCCCAACAACAGTGGGCTGGCAGCCCCATGCATCTCTCTGCGATAAACAACTTAAGCAGTTAATATACAACAAAATCATATATATTCATAAACTATATACATAGTATAGTAGATGATAAATTACCATGCGATCCCGATGCTGAATGACACTTATTGATCCTCCAACATGCATGGACGATATCCCCTCATACTGTATGTCTCTATCCCCTCATACTATATGTCCCGDTTGGCCCTAGATTGACGCCTAAAACATGTCGGTTTCTACACCTATTAAGACATAACACATAAATTAGTATTAAACAATTACAAAACATTACAAAGATTCAACCACATGTACCTGATCAATCATATCAATCCAATGTTTCTCTGGGATCTAGTCTGGGTGGTGTCNAAGGTCACCTAATATACGTCTAATGCACGTCTTACAACCTATTTACATGCATATCTCATTGGAACTGGGTATTTATTCCATAAGGTACGACAAATGGCATTGAAAACGTCAGCCTCCATAAAGGGCTCCCAGCTAAACTTACCATGTATATGTATTGTTTGTATAAAGTAAAAAATTGAAAAAAAAAAATAGTTTGTAGAGAACTATGTACAAACCTAAAAATGCTCGAACATGAGTCTTATGTGAGCCTCAGAGACATCCCATARTGAGCCCATGGACCACCGAACATTGACCTAAAGATGGACCTAAAGATGGAGGTGATCTCACAGACAACAGGTTTGCCTAGAAAYCTTCACAATTACAAAATATACAATAGAAAATACATTAGCATCAATYTATTATGTTATATGGTAAAACATAATAGCACATCAACTTACCGAATGCCTGACACCCAGACGAACGATCGCTAACTTGGATGGCGAGGTGTTCGCGTCAAAGTATTAAGGCCTTCCGTCCTCGACCCTGATCCAGGGGACAGGGTCCCAACCCATGTCGCATCCCCATGTTGAATCTGATCTAGTTCCTCGGTGAAAGTTCCAGCGACGTAATCTTCATACTCATCGGCGTGTGGGTCACCATACTTTAGGGATTTAAAATACTTAGATTTTATAAAAATTTATTTTTATTTTTATTTTGTATAGTTACTTTTTTTTTTGTGCTAAAAGAGGGTTGGCTAAAATAGGCCAACCCGTGAGTTTAGAGGATCAACTAGTAGGAGCCAACAACGTGAGTTTAGCGGATCAACCAAGAGGAACCAATCACATAAGTTGCCAYAATGGAATCTCAACCTTCTTCCATATACCAACCATTCATTATCAATCTTGCATCACTCCGTCAATCTGGGATAAACATAATTCAACCAGAATTCAAGAAATGAAGAATATTCGTTCTTGAGGAAGCCACCTCATTCTTTGTGGGTTTTACTTTAGTATATATACTCAAAGGAATCTTAATCTCGTTTCATGTATAATTCATTGTCAATCTTTTAGCCAACTAACCTTTTCATTTTCAAAGGAATATTTCACCCCTTTATASCCATATTCATTTTCAAACTAAAGATTTACCATCAATGCGGGATAAACAAAGTCCTACCATACTTCAAAATTTTAAAATACTTAACTCTTATAAAGATTTATTTATTTTATTTTATATGTTTAAATTTTTTGCTAAAAGAGGGTTGGCCAAAATGAGCTAACCTCACAGTTCAGAGGATCGGCCAAGAGAAGCCAACCCTATGAGTTGCCACAAAGGCATCWCAACCTCCCTTCATGTATAACCATTCATTGTTCATCTTTTTGCCCTAGCATTTTCATTTTCATTTTCAAAGAAATATTTCACCCTTTATACCCACATCAACTCTTCAAACTAAATATTTCCCTTCTACGTGGCATAAACAAAATCATATCATACTTGAAGATTTTAAATTACCTAAATCTTATAAAGATCTTTTTTATTTTTTATTTTGTACGATTAACATTTTTTGCTGAAAGAGGGTTGGCCAAAATGAGCCAACCCATGAATTTAAAGGATCGCCCAAGAGGACCAACAACGCGAGTTTAGAGGATCGGCCAAGAGAGGCCAACCCCATGAATTGCCATAAAGGTATCTCAACCTCCCTTCATATATCAATCATTCATTGTCAATCATTCATCATTCCATCAATGTGGGATATACAAAACTCAACCACGATCCAAGAAAAGAAGAATATTCTTTCTTTAGGATGCCACCTGAACATTCTCCATGGGTTTTTCTTCCTTTCATATATAACCATTCATTGTAAATTTGTAGCCAACTAAACATTTTCATTTTCAAATGAATATTTCACCCATTTATACCCGCATCCATTCTTCAAACTAAAGATTTTACATCAATGTGGGATAACCAAAATCACAGCATACTTTAAGAATTTAAAATACTTAAATCTTATAAGATTTATTTATTTTGTATATTTTATGGTTAATATTTTTGCTAAAAGATAGTTGTCCAAATTGAGCCAACCAGTGAGTTTGAAGGATTATCCAAAAAGAGCCAACAACGTGAATTTAGAGGATCAACCAAGAGGAGTCGACTCCATGAGTTGCCATAAAGGCATCTCAACCTCCCTTTATATACCAACCATTCCTTGTCAATCTTCTGTCACTCCATCAACGTGGAATACACAAAACTCAACCACAATCCAAAGATGAATATTATCCATTCATTAGGATGTCACCTCGTTCTTTGAGGGTTTTACTTCAATATATTTAAAGATTAAATACTTCTACTGCAGTGAAAAATTCCAAGGTAATCTTTTTTATAAATTTTTAGATACAATTGGCAAAGCTTACATTTTTAACTAACTTCTACATAATATACATTTTCTTGCTAGATTTCATTGACGTTGCAACTTCAAGTGCAATAGAAGTATGTATTAATCCTAAAACCGATTGTATGTTGGCATGGACTGGCAAATTTGCTAACGTCTGTCCTCGACTACACTTGGGTTGTCTTCTGGCAAGGTTAAACAACAACGGAAAATGAGATGCTTGAGAATTGAATGGATATTCAACAATTATCAACATTCGAGGTCTGTCCCATTTAGGGAGTGGAGATGCAGTTCGTTGGTAGTTACCATGACATTTAAGTGTACATTAGTTTCTTTCTAAATAAAACTAATAAGAGGTATCGTCTTCCTTCTGGAAAGAAAAAACTTCATGCAAGGTCATGAATGTATAAAGAATGCCTTAGTTATCGACATGCCAATTGTTAATGTTACTRATTTTATTTCACTTTACAATTTTATTCCTTAACAAGAAGAGAGAATATAATCACATCCCCATGCCAATTTTATGCCTTAGTTCAATYYMTGTCCCCGTCCCCGTCTCCATCCCAGTCGGGGAATATAATCACATCCCCATCCCCGCTGGGGAATATAATTACATCCCCATCYCCAACGGTTTAAGGATACGCAATACACTAAATCATTTAGAGGGTTTTGGAACCATCAAAAGACAAACCCTTATTATGCTAGACAAGATTCATCTCTTAACGATCCAAAGACTGTCTATTAATGAAACTATTAAGAGGTAAATAAATTGTCATTTGTATTAAAAAGTAGAGTTTCAAAATAGAACTAAACTATCATAGAATAGAAGATGGACTAAACTTGTGTAAAATTGGAATTTAAGGGTGGGCTAGGCACCCCTTAGCCCATTAGTCAGTCTGTCGGCCCAGTCTACCATCCATCTTTTCTGTTTACTATTAGGGTTTTGTAGTTGCTTCCGTTCATTCAGTGTAAAACTCTTCAACACGATCTCAACTTTCAACAACCCAGTTTTATAGCAGCAATGGGGAAGGTTTCGAAGGCTGACAAGAAGATAGCTTACGATCAGAAACTATGCCAACTTCTCGATGAYTACACGYAGATCCTTGTGGCGGTGGCTGATAATGTCGGTTCCAACCAGCTTCAGAACATTCGACATGGTCTTCGAGGCGATTCTGTTATCCTTATGGGCAAAAATACTATGATGAAACGATCTGTCAGGATGCACTCTGAGAAGACTGGAAACAAGGCCTTTTTGAATCTCATCCCTCTTCTTATTGTAAGTTGAGACTTGATTTTTTTTTTTTTGTTTTCTAGCCAATTGTTATAGATCTGGACATCACAATCGATTGTTTATGATTTTCTTTTGAGTTTTTAGATATTTTGAAAGTTTAGTATGTATTGGGACTGATATTTTATAT